CTTCTATATATTCTTCTTAAATCCTGATTATGTTGCTGCTCGCTCGCTACGCTCGCTCCGCAGCAATAAGCCTTACGCGGAATATTTTTCTTATCCCTCATGATGCCGTAGATCGGCGAAAGCTTGGATTTTTTAAACGATTTTAATATCATTTTACAGTAGTGTAAGGCCTCGATTGAACTTTTACCACTTTCATTTTCTGTTTATTTTGTATGGCCTTCTGTTTTGAGTTTGAAAAATCTCAAACTACACAAACAAAACCAGTGAAAAACATTTTTATACAGGAAAAGTTTATAGTTTGGTTAACTTTTAATCCTGGGTTAGCGTTAACCGGCTTCCGAACAACCCAGCCCTTATTACAAGTTGAGCCCCCGATCCAATCGAAAACCAGCACTTGGTGAGCGGTCAGCACGTGACCTCTATGAGCTCTCAACTTGAGCCCGCGATATGGTCACGTGAGACTGGTTAGTGGATACATTGTTTTGACAGGTGTCAATTGACCATAACATGGATGTCCAAAATCAAAGAAGTGCGCTGTAAACCAAGGCTGCAAGTCTTTGTCAACCTATTAGCTGGAGTATGGCCGCAATCTTGCGCGACTCCGCCATCGTCGTCGTCTTCGCCGCTGTCGTGCGCACGCGCCCACGAGCAAAACTGTTAGCCTTGATGACCATGAGAAAATCAATTCATGGGTTTCCTTTTCATTCCTATATGAGTATGGGGCTCCACTTGGCAGAGCTCCGCTATAAGCACCTAGAAGACAATAATACTGTGCAATTTCTCTTATTTACCTGGAGTTTAAGTAGTCTGATTCCCTAGCCACCTTTTTTACGTACTGGTTAAAGTCGTCACGAAGGGTGTTATAGCTTTCAAGCAGGTAGGTATAGCTGTAAAAAAGTAATCACGTTGTTAAACTAAACATCAGCTAATATCGATGAAGGAAAAGGGACAGGTGTGTGGAATTTCTTGGTGAAGCTGAAATTCAACTTTTCATTACCAAGATATAACATTGTGGGTAATATTATAACGTAGTCCAGTCCCTGAAACGTGCACCCGCGCAAATTTTCCAACGACCTTCAGCCACTGCACATTAATGGCCGATAGTGGGTTATGGCTCAGTCAATCAGATTATAAACTGGTTGCATTAGTATAACAGTAGGTATTACATGTAGCTATTGGTTCTATTATTATTAACTGATATCGAAACAAACAAAAGGAAAGAAAAGGAGGAAGAATTAGTATAAATCTTCTAAAGTTCTATCGCGAATGCTGTTTTCTGATTGGCTACGTAGATAGTGAGTAGCGTAGCACTGCGGGCTTGTTTGGCCGCTTCCTTGCGTTTTCGAGGTATTTGTGAAGAGGACTTAGAAAACGTTTTGAACAACTAGTAGATTTATACTAAAACAATTAGATTATTCGATCTAGATTTGCATGGGTGATTTTTGACCTCGTCATCTATCGCACCATACAAATCTCGAGCTCATAATCTAATTGTTAACTAATATAAATCTACTAGCGTTCTATCACGAATGCCGTTCTCTGATTAGCTACACTATCTATTCTGTGATAGATAGTGAGTAGCGTGGCAGTGTGCCCTCCTTGAGAAACTGACAGCCACTTCTTGGCGCTTTCCAAGTGTCTGTGAAGAGGATTTAGATAAAGATTTGAACGACTAGTAGATTTATACTAAAACAATTAGATTATTCGCTCTCGATTTTTATGCGAGTTGACTCGGGCTGCGACCTCGTCGACTATCATTATCTCTAATTATTTAATAGAAACACGAGTGGAAGTTTGGGAGTACGAGAAATGTTGTGGGAACACGAGCCGCAGGTTAGTTCTTTTAGAAAACACCGCCACGAAAAAAAGGAAAACAGCTTGTTTACTTTGATCATCCAAATGTTAATTCTCTTCCACAGCTTTTTCGAGTTCTCCCAAACTTTCACAAGTGAAAGTTAACTATAGTGAGAATCATGAACCACATAGGACACTTTCCACATAGGACAATTTCCACAAAACTCGACTCGAATGGCCCTCAGTGTTGATCGCAACCGCAAGTTTTCCGAGCGTATTTTTCAACTCCTGCAGTATTCAAGGCAACGTCTAAGCTTTTCGGCTCACAGGGATGCTCCGATGACAGAAACTGTCTCTACTTTTCCAGCAGTTTCTTCAAGATTTGTAGATTTCGCAGTTTTATTCTTCTTGCGCTGTAAGTTTTCATTCCACGAGAAGTGACGTTCGAGTCAAGTTTGACCGTGGCGTGATTTTCCTGGACCAATCACAATTCTCTGCTTCGCAGAGCGACCTATGAGTTTGCGTCATTTTGTATAGACAATAGATTACGTCAACTGGCTTTTTTTTTTCGTGTTCGCCAAAGTGGGCAAAGGCCGGCTTTCGAGTTGTCAGGTTATGTTGAAAGATTTTGAAATAAAAAAGCTTTATCTGTACTAGTTTGTTTCGTTATCATATAAAACAAATAGATTCCATGTTGCCGTGCGCCTGTTCAGTAATAGATCACAGAAGACGTCAAAATGTGGTAAGAACAT